CTTTGCTGTATGGTGGGCGGATGGGGAGATCACGTATTGACATTGTCCAGTAGTAACAATGTTCGCTATTAGAAACAAGTGCATCGCTACTAGTAACAAGTGCCTTACTAGTAGTAACAAGAAGCTAGTAGAAACAAGTACTGGCATGGTCGACTCGGATCAAACAAGCTTCGGAGACGCATTTGAATCGGGGAGGAGCAGTCCGTGTTGCCGTCATTTTGACGGCCATTTGTGGGGAGTCCGGACGGGCAGAATGGAAGCTTTGTTCAACCGACAAGGCCTACACCACTTTTTTGGCTCAGAATTCAATGGCAGATCTGAGGGCTTGCAAGCAATGTCGGAGCATGCTAAACCTAACAATTGCAACTACAAGACTGGATCGTGGAAGGAAAAGGCAACACTAAGAATTTTTGCAGAAACAAACTGCGAGCAACAGCGCCATGGAGGGTGACTGGGTGGACTATGGGCGGGGCCTTTGCATTGCGGAAGAAGCAGTCGCCGTCACCATTGATCAGCACCTTGGAAGAATACCAGAGGCCTATGAAACCCAGCTTTCTTGTGTTGGAGGAAGTGCTCATTTTACTAGTCTCCAATCCTAAACTATATAGTAACAGTAGTAGTAGTAGTAGCAGTAGTAGTAGTAGTATTAGTAGTAATAGTGGTAGTGGAAGTAGTAGTAGTCGTCGTAGTCGTAGTGGTAGTGGTAGTGGTAGTAGGAGTAGGAGTAGCAGTGGCAGGAGCAGGAGCAGCAGCAGCAGGAGCAGTAGCAGTAGCAGTAGCAGCGCGGGATCACATTCAGACCATCCCTGTGTAAATATTGCATTGTGAAACACTTGACCCAGTTATTGTGTTCTGGCCAGGGCCAGAGATATGATGATGGCTTCCAAGACAGGTGAGTATAGGCAAATTTGTGAGAGTTCCTGAATGCCAAGGATTCTCACCGATGGTGGAACACTCTTGTGGCAGAAATACCTCGAGCGAAAGGCCGAATGTTCAGAACTGGTCAGGTGACGAAGCGGTGGCAAACAAATGTCTTTCCCGAAATGTTGTTTTCTCAAGCTTCTGTTGCGTTTCTATTCTGAGAAATGTGTTGGTTGTGTTTTGTGTTTCTTACAGCATGGGATAGTTCATTCGATTCAAGACCATGGTTTGTTTGGTCGAGCTGCACGTGGTCAACTTCAAACCAGGGGTCAGTGAGGTCAGGTTGGGGTTGACACCTACTAGCGATGGCCTCCAACCTAGTAGCGATGGCCTCCACACTAGCAGGGTTGGGGTTGACATGTTTTCCTTAGAAATTTTCAAGCAGAAAGGATCGGATGGGACTGCCATTATTTGCCACAATCTGTTTCTCAAAATTCATATACCAGGTCCAAGGACCGTTTGCAAGCCAATTACTAGAGTCCACTGTTGGTTTATAGTGGTTTGAAAAGCTCAGAAAATTGCAATTCCTCAAACATGAGGCCTTCTCGTTTGCTGCCACCGCCATTAGCGAAGCGCTGGTCAGCCGCCTGCGGATGTGCCTGGACTCAGACTCGATGCGCTCGATGTCCTTTGCTAGTAGAACTCCTTTGCTAGTAATTACAAGTGCCTCGCTAGTAGTAACAAGTGCCTTACTAGTTAGTAGTAACAAGAAGCTATTAATTTTAATTCTAATAGCTTTTGTGTTACTACTAGTAAGGCACTTGTTACTACTAGCGAACCTTGTTACTTCGTGACACTGGTGACAGGTGCTATGTTCACCACGACCATGGCGAGCCACTGGAGGGTGGACAGCTAGGCTCCGAGGGTGACAGGGTAGCAACAAGTCGCGACAAATCCTTTGCATGTTGTTTGATGTCTATTCCTCTTCGCAAAATAAACCGAAACAACTATTCCTCTTCCTAGACAGGCGACTCGTCCAAGACCTAAGCTCTTATTCGGTGGTGGGTCGCTTCGACCGAGATGCCTCGGCACCGTTGTGCATGGGCCCTGTTTCGACACAAATGGCAACAGTGTCAATCTGCCAGCTGCTTAGACGCATGTTGCGTGTAAGGCAATAGTAACAAGAAGCTACTAGTAACAAGGCATCTTACTAGCAAAAAGCAACCTCACTACATCTCTTGCGTCTTGCGGAGGTGAAGAGTGGCAAATTGAGGAAGAGCCCGCCACATGCGAGGCCGGTTCCCGTCGAGACTTCAGACCCAAAATGTGGCGAACAAAGAGAAACAAAAAAAGAAAACAGATAAGTTCCGAAAAGCAATGAATTGGAAGCTGTTGGAATTCCAACAAATTTGGGGGCAATCCAAGGTCGGGAAATCATGTTGGCATCCAAGGTTCAAGAACTGGTGTGGAGTCTGCAAAATTCGTTGTGAAAACCTGCATGGTCTTGATTTAAAACCTAGACATCTTTGTAAAGGGAGGACAATCGGAAGGGCATCCACCACTTAGATGCATTCCATTATTTCTGCAACAGAGCCTTTGACAGCTTCTAGTTACTAGTAGTAATGGCCTCCAACCTACTAGCGATGGCCTCCAACCTAGTAGCTTCTAGTTACTAGCGACATATCTATTATTCTCATTCTTCATGAAGCGTTGTTGCGGAGCTGGCCCAATGAGTGGCGAAAGATGTCAAGTTGACTTGGCCAGGTCGATAGCTGGGTCCGCATGCATTTGCCGGTCCGTAGGGGAAAGGCGGAAGAGGCCTGATTCGACAAATGGTTTTTGGTCAGGGCCTGGAGCCTTCTGATGGGTAAAGAAAGAATAAATAAAGACAAAACATCTAAAAAAAGGAGCCAAACTGTTTGAATCACGAAACAAAGAAAACAATAAGAAAAGCGATGAACGAGATGAAAAAGGATAATAGAAGCACATCGTCGTTTTACAATCCACGGCCTGAGGATTTGTGTCAAAAAGGAAGGTGAGCGAAGGATGGAGCGGCCACGGGCTATATGGGCCTAAAGCGAGCAGGCCTCCAACCTGAGAGCGATGGCCTCCACCCTAGTAGCGATGGCCTCCAACCTACTAGTGATGGCCTCCAACGTAATAGCTTGGGTGAAAGCTTCGCAGACAATTGTGCTCAGCTGCCACGGTGAAAGATTCTCTCTTACATTCTCCAGCTTCAGCTTTGGTTCCGCTTGCTCGCATGTTCATATTCCTTTCCTTTGCAGCACAAAGGCCGGTGCGTCCATCCTACTTGCACCATTTCTTGTGGCCCATTCGTCCTTGCTGTTTTTCTTGACCATTGCACAACTACTCTTATCAACACGACGCAGGCGTTTAATGTGGTGAATCATTGCTGCTCTCGGATTTGTTGAATGTGTCTTCTCATTTAAGGCACCCCGGTTCTCGTTAGATTTGCATGGTGGTCAAGACAACTTTGCCAAGTGTGAAGGATGGATTAGTGAGATATGATGATATGATGCAGACATTTCACACAATTGTCACACAAGATTGGACTCATAGTGCCAGATTTCACTTAGTCATGCGTGCTTGTATCATGAGTCTAGCAGCCTTTTTGCTCTATTTTAAGGCACAGCACGAAGGAATCCTGACATGCTTTAATTCAGTTTCATTCAATTTGTAACGTAAGACGCAACAAAAGAAAGCGATAGCATCGTGAAAAACCCGTGTAAGAACGCTACTAGGGGCTCCTGGCCTTACTACTAGGAAAAAGAAGCTTTTAATTCTAATAGCTTCTTGTTACTACTTGTTACTACTAGCGATGCATAGCGATGGCCTGGAGTTGTTTTGGTTGCGACCGTTGGGACCGTTGCAAGGCCAGTGGCTCTCTGAAGGTGCCAAAGCTGCGGCGAAACCCCGCACTGGACCAAGCTGGTAGCGTCGTAGCGTTGACGTGTCGGTAGTTAAAAGAGGAGCCAACTGAAGGGAAGTGTTTGTGTTTTTTCTTATTTTGTGGTTGAACAAACTAAGAAAAAGAAAGACAAAAGTCCTGTGGTTTCAGTCTTTCGAGGCGAGTCGGCAGAAGTTCGGCAGCACTCTACAGATGCTTGGTGAGCACGAGCGGTGAGCACGCCTCGTGGACCGCGTCTCTGAAACGAAGTCTTTTGCCGTTCAGGAGCCCCTAGTTGCTTCTTGTTCATAGTACCAATGCCAGGAGCCCCTGGTAGCGTCCTTGTTCCTAGTAGTAAGGCCAGGAGCCCCTAGTAGCGTCCTTGCTCCTAGTAGCGATGCTCTTTGCTACTAATGGCTTCTTGCTCCTAGGCGTAAAAGATGTTCCAATCAATGCACGTGATTGACCCATTTGGTGCCTAAGGAAGCTTCCGCCTGAATTCCAGCCGAGGAGTTTCTTGTCGGTGGTCGTGTTGTTTGTTTCTCCGATTCTCTGATTCTCAAGGGAGGCCAGTTGTGGCTTCAGGGTGCTCTACGACAAGTGAGGTTGCTGTTTGTGTTCCTAGTAACGTCCTTGCTCCTAGTAGTAAGGCTAGGAGCCCCTAGTAGCTTCTTTGCTCCTAGTAGCGATGCCAGGAGCCCCCAGTAGCGTTCTAGTTTGCACGGTCCACAACCTCCAGGCATTTCACATTCGATGTACCTGGCAGGGTCCAGCCACTGGAGAGCGAAATCCAGGTGGACCCAGAAGAGGAACGAATGCGAGAGGCGGGCGTGATCACGAAAGCTTCAACCTAATAGCGACGGTCTCCACCCTAGTAGCGATGGCCTCCACGCTACTAGCTTCAGCTAGCTGGAGATACTCTTGCGTTTGCAAGTTATTGGCTGGGGGATGGAATCTACCCACTACTGCTAGACCCCCCCTCCGCGGGTTCAATCACCCTTGGACGTGTTTGATTTGGGAGCATAATAATTCTGATAGTAGCCGTTTTGGGACTACTAGGAGCAACAACGCTACTAGGGGCTCCTGGCATCGCTACTAGGAACAAAGGGCATCGCTACTAGGGGCTCCTGGCCTTACTAGGAACAAGAACGCTTATGTTTCACATCATGCCGCGCATCCACACCCTCTCGTTCCCGTTTTAAGGCGTGATGAGATGCCTAGCTTTCGTCACCAACCCCCAAGTGAGACGTAACGAAGTAAGCGCTGCTTTAAGTCACTTGGTCAAATGAAATCCCAGCTATTGCCGGAAAGGTCGAAAGTCTACGATGGTCCAAAGAAGCATTAGAATAAGGAAAGAAAAAGAAGGTGTTAGCAATGGCCTCCAACCTAATGGCGATGGCCTCCAACCTAGAAGCGATGGCCTCTAACCTAATAGCAATGGCCTCTTACCTAATGGTTCACCAGGTTCAAAGGTCGTCCTTTTGACTCAAGCCCTGAGAGTACAAGACCTAGGTTGTGAATGTGAAACACATCGCTTGCATGCCCAATGTTTGGCCAAAGTGGGACCACTTACAGCATGTTTGAACATGTGGGAAAGGGGGCACAGTCGGGAAGAAGTTTCAGTCACGAAAGCAGTTGCAGATTGTCGATGGGATAGAAAGAGCAAGGGCATCGCTACTAGGAGCAAAGGACGCTATACTAGGGGCTCCTGGCATCGCTACTAGGAGCAAAGGACGCTACTACTTGTAGGGGCTCCTGGCATCGCTACTATGAACAAGAAGCTACTAGGGGCTCCTGGCCTTACTACTAGGAGCAAGGACGCTACTAGGAATATTGTCCATGTTACGGCCTATGCCAGGCCAAGGCACAAGAAGAGGCCCGGAAGCGTGACAAAGAGCGCATGGCCAAGGACCAACTTGTTGTCGTTTCTTTTGTTCTTTTCTTTGTTCTTCTCGTGTCTTTTTCTTTGGACCTGCAGATCTTTCTTGTTGATCCTGTTTTTTTTATTGGTTTGGGGAAGCCGAGAGAAGCATAGACGGTGTTGCGTTCCTGATCGCTCGTATCAGCATCGTAGGAATCCGAGAAGACTTTCGAGGAGGAGAGAAGGAAGGCACTTCGAAAGACAAATTCGGACAGTTTCTAGCTACTAGTAGCTTCTTGTTACTAGTAATGGCCTCCGCCCTAAGAGCGATGGCCTCCACCCTAGTAGCTTCTAGATCTCCGTCTGTACGGCAGGTATTTTTTCCTGCAGCTGCACTCAGGTAAGTAATAAAGTTTCCAAGTTTCCGATACCTATGTTTAAAAAATAGTAATATGGATTTTATGTTGGACTATGTACAGGATCTATGGTTATCTATGGTACGGTATATCTTCATAAATCTCAAAAATCATGTGAATCCTATGGAACAAAACTGAAATGGAATAGACTCTTCTCTTCAAGAAGTCTCAGTTTTAAAATACCTGTAGCATGTTCTCTTCGATTTGGCCTTGAGAGAGCACAGAAAAATATCACATCCGGGTTGGGAAGTTCCCAGGAAAATTCTCTCGTTAACATGTTTTGGTTAATGGTTTTAAGTAGACTGGAACACAAGGATTTTATAGCATGTTTGGTCTTTAAAAACGCAACTTTTTGTATAGGACAATATAAACGGATACCGTGTCTGACCGTGTGTGTTTCTAAGGAATTATATATTGTTCAGTGCTCCAGTCCAACCTGTCGTACAGACGGGGATCTTCTAGCTACTATTCAATCAGATGTGTTCTTTAGTAGCGTTCTTGTTACTACTAGTAAGGCACTTGTTACTAGTAGCGTGGCACTTGTTTCTAGTAGCTTCTTGTTCCTATTAGCTTGCAAATAAACCTCAAGATGCATTGAGGTTGTCTTCATGTAGCAAGAAATACAGGATTACGAGTGACGGGAAATGGTCTTGTGAGTCTTGTGACTTGAGTACACAAGCATGCTTTCTCTTTTTGATGGTTTCTCTCTTCTCCTTTCTTCCGTTTGTAACAGGAAGCTACTAGGGGCTCTTGGCATCGCTACTAGGAGCAAAAACGCTACTAGTGGCTCCTGGCCTTACTACTAGTAACAAGAAGCTACTAGGGACAAACGAAATTGCTTCTTTGCCGAAGCAGCACCCAGGTGCAGCAATTGCACGAAGAGATGTCCAAAAGACCACATACGTTTGACACCGAGGCACGGGTGACCAGGGGGGTGCTGCAGAGCGTACTTGGACGTGGCCTCGTTTGGCCTCTTTTGATCCAGAAAATGTTAAGGACGGCTAGGGCGGCTGTGTGATGTTCTATGTTTTTCTTTGGTTACTTGTGCTTCAAGCAGGGAGAACAAGAACAAGGAGTTGTTAAGTTAAGAAGAGGCCCAATGCCGCCCATGCCCAATTCCTTGGCTTTTGCTTTTGCCTTTTCCCAGGTACATCATAAGGGTCTTAAGGTTGGAATAGCCGCACAACCTGGAGGCAAAAAAAACGGGCGGTGGAAACGTGTGTCGTCGCGTGTCGCTTCTGCAGGGGAACCTCATTTGGGTGGAGGAGTTGAAGCCCGATCGGTTTCCCAGGCGCCAACGGGAACATCTAGTAAGGGCATCGCTACTAGGAGCAAGGACGCTACTAGTAACAAGTGCCTTACTAGTAAGAAGAAGCTAGTAATTAGTTGATTTCGATCCAGTCCGAAGTCAGGCTGGTGGAATTCTCCAGCTACGCCGTGAAGAAAGATCCCAACAAGACGACCACGCTCGGCCGGGACCGAAGCACTGTGTTGACACCAAGCCGCAGCGCATCGGCGGCTAGCAAACTATAGAAAAAACAAAACAGGAAGCTTCTTGTTACTACTAGTAAGGCACTTGTTACTACTAGCGTGGCACCTGTTCCTAGTAGCTTCTTGTTACTACTAGTAAGGCACCTGTTCCTAGTAGCGATGCACTTGTTACTACTAGCTTCTTGTTCAAAGGAAGTTTAGTGTGCAAAACTTCTGTGTTACGGACATTCAACAGCTGTTCAACCACCACTCATCATACACCACTCATCATACACCACTCATCATACACCA